CTCAGATACACATGCCTTGGCCTTGAGTTGCAGTTGCATGGTATCATCACTAGAGGACGTAAAGGTTGTTATTAAAGGGGTCATATGATGCGATTTCAAGTTCAAGTCACGTCACGTCACTTCACTTAAGTTTTCCTTTCTCTTTGGAGTGTTACAAGCTGATTGTGCATAGATAAGATCCCTGAAGTTGCAAAGACTAAAGTCACAAACCCAAAGAGATATTCTTTATCAAAGTTAAGACTCTGCCACGCCCCCCTAAAACGGCAATAATGATCTTTAAAAAAGCATCATATGACCCCTTTAATCCATTTTTTTGTATTTTCTGAGCAGGTCTTGCTGTGAAGTTATATAACTAAGTTTAAACGTTTTGGATCTAACTGGAACCTTTATTTTCAAGAGAGTACAGCCAATAAATATTCCTTACTGTTTTTGACTTAAGATTAATCACCCTCTTAATACACAGGTAATTACAAAGTTATTTACCAGCAACATAAATCAACGTACAGGCCATAAATCTGTGAATAAATATGAGGCTCAGACAGTTTATGTACTTCCTCAACCCTAAAAAGGAGTAAGATGGACTGTGTATATGTGTATGACAACATCAAATTGATCAGCTAGATAAACAAATGCATATGTACTCTTCATAATACCAGCATAAAGAACAGACACATGCACCATGCATGTGTTTAGTTTCATAATACAGCTGCAGAACATTGTCCTGTTCGTGGATTATGCAAGGCCTGATTAGATATTGGCAATATAAAACAGAGAAAACACAATAAAAGTCCCAGACAATGAAAATGAAAACAAAGCATGCAAAGTTATCAAAATATTTTACTGCTTTTGACTGAGTACAGTCACTATTCAATCAATCAATCAAAAAAAAAAAAAGTAATAGTGTACTTACCAACCAAACCCTTGATTTCACTTACAGTAAATTCTGGATCCGGCATCCTGTTGTACATTAAACAATTCAGATGAGCGATTCACAATGTAAAATGTATAGAAATATGTGAAATAAAACTGATTTCCTTGCTCTTACCTAATTCCCAGTCCATCTTTGGCTTTAAATATGAGCGGAGTTCGCAGTGCCTCCCTCTGAACATATTCATAAGAAAAATCTAGGATGGTATAAAAGTTAACTGTTTTTAAAACCAAATCCCTGGATTTTAAAATGGAGAGCATGTGAATAACACAAGTAATAACTGTAAAGAAAGGGGTGTTTCAGATACAACCAAGACTTTAGACACACCTTATTATTCATTATTATGACATATGAATTCTGGACACTTGTTGGCTGTTTTTCTTTCACTATCCACTAAAACTAATCCATTAACAAATACAATTTCAATTGCATTCACCCTAATGTTGTTCCAAACCTGTATGAGTTTCTTTCTGCTGCTTAAGACAAAAGAAGATATTCTGGAGAATGTGGGTAACCAAAAAGTTTCTGGTCCCCATTGACTTCTATAGTATTTTCCTATACTATGGAAGTCAATGGGGACCAAGCTACCCTACCCTAAGCTATTCTTCAAAATATCATCTTTTATGTTCAATAACAGAAAAAACTCGTACAGGTTTGCTACAACTTGAGGGCGAGTAAATAGTGACAGAATCTTCATTTTTGGGCGAACTACGCCTTAAATATCAACCATTTAATATCAAATTATGAGCACAACTATAAGTACAACTTATATTTGCAGATGCCAACAGGAGAACAAAAACCCCAATATTTAAGAATATAATCAATATGAATTGCACTAATAAGCAATATACACCCCAACAAAGTACCTTTTCCCTCCATATACTGAACAAATTCGCTGTTGTATGAATTGCTCTCAAGTTTGTCCTCCACGCTGAAGCCCCTGATGTTTGTGATTTCCTCCACATCTGACAAGTCCTCGTTCTCATCGTACATCTTTCTGCACATCGAGCGCTGGACGAAAACAACACATGAAGAAGATGAGGATGAAGAACCCCTGCCTCATTCTGTGCTCGGATATGAGATATAACGCTGGGCTGGGATGTTATATCATTTGCACGAATGTCAAATTCCATGATTGACATCCAGGCCTTAATCGTCGACCATCTTACAGCTGTTATATAATTAATACATGTCAAATCAGCGTGAACGAGTTCAAACTTCCCGATGAATATTAGACACGAGGGTCGCGGGGCAACAATGTGTGCGGTCTCGCACGAGCGTCTGTATATGGAGCATCTTGCTCTCTTCGTAATATTATGAAACGTGTCCTTTCCTGTTTACCATTACGAGCGTATTGCATTTAACCTATTAATGTGGCGTACGTCGCTCTAATTCTCGTATCGCAGTGATTCTCCCCGATTCAGGCCACTAAACACAATGCATATCGATGTGAGGCTGAAATTCCCGATTTAAAACGAGTCTTTGAGAGGACCGCTTCAACTACACACCAGTTTGCGTCCGGATTCCGCACACGCCTCCATGTCCGAGCCTTTCGACCGCGTTAATTCCCTCAGCGATGTATTTGGACCATATTTAACGCGTAAAGTTGTGCACACTTTGATTGCTTGTATAGAAAATTAAGTAGGAACCATTTTTGTGAAGTGCACCGTGACGTCACGGTCAACAGAATCAAAACATTGCAGGAACGTCACGCGGATCGTGTTAATGAGGGGTCGAAACAACAGCCGATTTTTTTCTGAGTTGTTATCGGAATGGTTGGTGTGATTTTTTTAAACACACAGAAATAGTTTTTTGAGGAGTCAGAATTGCTCTTTCTTTCTTCTCTTTGGCACGCGCGCGCTGCAGCAGCTATGCTCGCGCATATGTGCTTCATCAACAAGACACTTGCCAGTGCAACAGTAACTAAACATCTTTTAATATTACATCCACACGTTATAGCCTCAGTTACAATAGAAATACGTATGCATAATCGGCTCTCTTTAAATCACAATTATTTGGGACATTCTATGAAAAAATATGTAAGGTTTAACAGATAATATCGTCATATTTAATATAATTTATTTTTATTTTAATACAAAAAACTTAAAGTTGTCCCCAAATTATGTTAACTCTTCACCAATGACTATTTAAAATAATAATTATAATAATAATAATTAGTAGTAGTAGTAGTAGTATAATTATTATTATTATATACTTATTATTTACTAATTACTTTAGAAATCTAATGGTGACTAGTTGACATCAAAATGTGCATATTTGCTTATATTGCAATATATATATATATATATATACAAAAAGCAATATATGACAAAAAAAAAGTTTTTAATAATGAATAATGACAACTAAAATAAAATTATATTTTTATAGAAGTAAAAAAAGTTTTTTATCAAAATGTGAATATTTGCTAATATAGCAAGGAGAAACAACAAA